GTCTCTGGTGAACTGGAGACCTGTCCAGGTGTCTCCTGTCCAGGTGTCTCTGGTGAACTGGAGACCTGTCCAGGTGTCTCTGGTGAACTGGAGACCTGTCCAGGTGTCTCCTGTCCAGGTGTCTCTGGTGAACTGGAGACCTGTCCAGGTGTCTCTGGTAAACTGGAGACCTGTTCAGGCATCTCTGGTGAACTGGAGACCTGTCCTTGTGTCTCTGGTGAACTGGAGACCTGTCCATGTGTCTCTGGTGAACTGGAGACCTGTCCATGTGTCTCTGGTGAACTGGAGACCTGTCCATGTGTCTCTGGTGAACTGGAGACCTGTCCATGTGTCTCTGGTGAACTGGAGACCTGTCCAGATGTCTCTGGTGAACTGGAGACCTGTCCATGTGTCTCTGGTGAACTGGAGAACTGTCCAGGTGTCTCTGGTGAACTGGAGACCTGTCCAGATGTCTCTGGTGAACTGGAGACCTGTCCATGTGTCTCTGGTGAACTGGAGACCTGTCCAGATGTCTCTGGTGAACTGGAGACCTGTCCAGGTGTCCCCTGCCTTCACCCAAAGGGAGCGAGGACAGGTTCCAGCCCCACCCTGACCCTGATTAGGAACATGGAGGACAGGAGGAGGATTTTTCTTTATAGCAGGAAACAGACATTTAATTATAAAACACGATTTATTTTATGTTAATCTGAGTCAGTTTAGTGTTGTTTGTAAATATATTTGACAGTTTTGTAGGAATGAACAAGTTTGTAATGTTTGTTCAAAATAAACCTGCTTCTTATGACTTCTGTAACATTTTTTAAATAAAATATTATCAGTAAAAAACCTCAAATCATGTCCTTTCTAAGAATTATTAGAACTAGGAGAACTTTAACTTTGCAGAGTTTCCCCAAGGATTTTTTTAACTGTGGTGGTGACCTCTCATGTGGGGGTTTGACAAAATCTGGTTGTCCTCAAAACATTTTGGTTGTCCAAAAAATATCTCAACACAAATATAATTTAATAAGTAGGCTATATTGTTCTGTATACAAAGTGTAATATATACAAATGTTCTCAGTCAGCAGGTTGACAGTTTTAGGAGCTGCTTGAGGAGAACTTCCTCGTTCTCCTCCTCATCCTCTTCTTTGAAATAGAGATAAAAAACAACACCCAGCATCCATAAGCTTTCTGCTTACAGGTCAAACATTTTTATTTAAATAGGAGTACACTACATGACCTTATTAAAAGTTACAGTTTAGTGTTCTTAGGACTGAAGACTTTCTGAGGAAAGAAGTTTTTAAACATCTTTTCTAATAATTTTAGTGTTTTCAACTGAGGGGCTTTGATATATTTATTTAAAATAAATTATAGCAGAGGAAGTTCTCTGCAC